ATGAATGGGTGAAATTTAATAATCACTCAAATCTACAACGTTACGAATGAATTCAACATGATTTATAGTAATGTAAAAGTGAAATTATCACAAACTCAAGTATTGTGTTCTCAGTCGCTACCTCGGATTTTAAAAAAACACCAACGAATAACTTATGGGGTTTACGTTGAAATCACTTGAACTATGAAGTGGAGGGCGGTGGTTCCATTTTGAACCGTGATGAAGTATGGTGCCATTATTCTGAACCGTCTAGCAAGGAGGCCACTATCCGTGAGCGCAGTGGAAACATCCCTATCACTAAAATAGGAAACAATCAACCTACTACATATAAGGTTATGTGATCCTCATTTTATAAAACCATAAATGAATTTTTTTGTATGGTTGGGTTTTAAAAGCCTCGAGTCATATTCAATTTTCGACGCTACACATAGACACTGGCCAACCAGAATAAAGTAATAGAAAATAAACGTCCAGAATCATGTTGTCACCACAATGCCCAAGTTGTAAACATTATCAAGAATACCTTTACGAGGAATAATGTGGAAGTTATTTTCCGCCCACCTTACAGCTCTGATATTGTCCCCATATGTTTTCATTTGTTTAGATATTTTAAAGATGCCCTAAAAGGTCACCTATATTTGAGCCAAATTTTGAAATAATAGCTACAGTCTCAAAATGGTTCAAAGGCCAAACGAAGTCATTTTTCACTGTTGATATTCACATGTTGTTGTTGTCGTGTCCAAAGAAGAGCCTCAGATGTCTCCATGCATCTCCATCACAGCAGCAGCAATATCTACGATCTTGGGTGTGTAAAGCTGCTGCTCTGGGCCTAAGTCAATTTTCTGCAAGGCTGCGGCCATTTCTGGGCATGAGAATATGTGAGTAGGTGTTAGTTCCACACCAGGACAGTTGTTGCATGCTCTATAGGTTCTTGTGCCATCTGGATGTATTGTCATTCCTTTATAGTGTTTTGTTCTAAGTCTTGTTATAGTTTTTGTCAGTTTTCTCTCAGAGTTTATTTCACATATTTGATCTTTTCTTATTTTTTGTTTGATTATCTTGTATTTTGCCAAAGCATCAGGGTCAAATACTGACATTTGTTCTTTCCTTTGGCTCATCTTTCTGGCTTCCTTTGCCAATTAATCTGCCATTTCATTACCCTCGATCCCAACATGGGCAGGAATCCATTGTAGAATGCAGTTCTTCTCCAATGTTTCCAGTTTGGTAAGTAATGAGTGTATTTTCTACGTGATTCTAGTATTGCCCTTCTGAATTGCTTCTAGAGCGGATCTGGAGTCGCTGTATATTATGATTCCTTCTGCTTGATGCAGGGAAGGTTGGTTAAGGCATACATCAAGGGCTTTCCAGATAGCTGTCAGTTCACAAGTGAAGTTTGACGAAATCTTTCCTGCTCCTTCTTTGATTTTGATGTATGTTCCATCTTGGAGTATTATGTTAATTCCGGTCCCTCCATTACTCAGGGTAAGGTCTGATGATCCATCTGTGTATGCTAATACATAATTTTTCTGATCATATAAATCAATTGTGTCAAGCCCTTTCTTTTTAAGTATGATTTTGTTCTCTTTTTTATTGCAGGGTTCATTCAGGTTGAGATTGATGATTATATTTGATGGCAATGGGGTAGGAAATGTTGGTTCTTCTTGAATTTGAAAGTCATTGTGTTTCATGTTTATCCCCTTTCTAATATTGTTGTCGTACTGGAGTGTTGAAGATCTTTTAAGTCTTTCTTTTTGTGTCCAGTTTAAATAGGTTTATGGGATATGTGTTAGGTTTCTTTACTTTTTAGGCTATTGGTGAATTTTATTGTTTTTAATTGTCTTCTGCTTTCGAGTAGGTCTAGACCACATTCTCTCTGAATTTTCTCATTGTTGGTGGATGAAACAGCACCAGTGATTATTTTGGCCGCTTTTGCTTGAACACTGTCTAGTCTTCCTTTTAGTGATGAGCTTGAGGGAGCCCAGACAGGTGTTGCATATTCCATTATTGGCCTTATTAAGGTGGTATATGTTGTTCTGAGGGTTTTGGGTTTTGCTCCCCAATTTGTTCCACATAACCTTCTCAGAATAATTAGTTTTCTGGTAGCTCTATTTGAGGTGCTAATTATGTGTTCTGTAAATCGCAATTCCTCATAAAGTATCACACCTAGGTATTTTGGATTTCTAATTTTATCAATTATTTGGTTGTTTATGCTTATTTTGGGATTAAATTTATGCCTGTTTTTCCTGTCAGTGGAGAAGACGCATAGGTTTGTTTTTATTGGGTTTATGGTCATTTTGAGTTCCATTGCCCACTTCTCCAGTCCTCTCATTGAGGTGTTCAGTATTTTTTCTGATTTTTCTATACTGCTACTTGTGTGCCATATGGCTATATCATCTGCATAACAGGCAACCTTTGTGTCTTCGGTGAGGTAAGGATGGATGTCGTTAATATATAGCAGGAAGAGTAGAGGACTGAGCACAGATCCCTGAGGTACACCAGCCAATGTTCGTCTGTCCTTGGAAAATGCTCCATTGACCCGAACCTTTATCCTTCTTCCCCTTAAGAAGTCTACAATCCAGATTAAGGTTTTTCCTCTTACTCCGATGTTGTGCAGCCTTTCAAGTAATTTCTCCCTCCATACTCGATCAAAAGCTGAGGTCATATCCAGGAATACGGCCGTTGTCTTCTTTGTTGGTTTTTCCTGGAAAGAATCTATTATTGATTGGGAGAAGTAGAACAGTTGATCAGTTGTACAATGCCGGGATCTATAGGCAGTTTGGTAGAAGTTTATTTTATTATTGTTGGTGAGCCAGACTATGAGCCTAGAGTGGATAATTCGTTTTGTTATTTTACAAAGTATGCTGGTGAGAGCAATTGGCCGATAGTTCTTGCATTCCTTGGCATCTTTGTTTGGTTTCAGTATTGGCACTATAATTGATATCTTCCAATTCTTTGGTAGTTTACCAGTTCGCCATGAAATGTTCAGTATTTGTAGGAGTTGATTTTTAGCTTTGTCTCCAAAGTGTTTAATCATTTGACCAAAGATTAGATCATCTCCTGGTGACCTCTTGGGATCTAACTTTTCTATTGATGAGTTTAGCTCATTCAGTGTGAAGTCTCTCGAAAAAATATCTTCTTGATGGTAATTTCTTGCTTGTTGTTTAACTAACCTGTTTATATTATTTTTAGGGTCCTGTATTCATCCGTATTGCTGAGTCTGGAAGTGCTTGAAAGATATTCAGCAATTATGTCAGCCATCTTTTTTTATGTTCTCGCTGTTCTATTCATATCGGTTAGAGTATTGGAGGATTGGTGTTGATTTTTATTGTTTTCCAACACTAATTATATTCCAGTGTTGGCTGTCCTTTCTTGGATCCATTTTTTCGCAGAATTCTGCCCATTTTTCTTGTTTGCATATCCAAATTTCTTGTTCTATTTTGTGACTAATTTCAATGAGTTTCTTTCAGTTTTCTTCTGTTTTATTTGTTTTGAGAAGTTCATTGATATTGTCTCTCTCTGCAATCATTGCCTCGATGTTGTGGTCCTTCCAGAAAGGTATCCACAGGTCTTTACGTCTACCTCTAGGTATCGATGCTTTTCAGCTTTGGATATGTTCGAAGAGAATTTTTCCAAGTTTTTGTCAAGCGTTCTGTAATTTGATTCTTCGTTGCACAGTTCTTCGAGCTTTTCTGTGAAATTTTTCCAGTCGGCTCTCCTAAAGTTCCATGTTCTTTTATTTTGTTGGACATTCTCAATTTTGAAGTTTAGGGTTGTTAGAATTGGTCTGTGGTCACTGATTGCACTTTTCAGGATTTTCCATTGTGTTGTGGGTGCGATTTTGTAATTTATCGCTGTGATGTCTATTGCGGATTCTGTGTCTGTGGACTTGGATAGATAGGTGTTCTCTCCATTATTTAACGGTGTAAGGTCGAGGTCGGTTAGCATGTCCTCAACCTGCTGACCTTTGTTATCCTGGACAGGTGATCCCCAAGTTGGACCTTTGGCGTTAAAATCGCCAAGTATGATTGTGATATCCGAAGACGCTTCACTTAATGTCTCTATCAGGCCTGTATTGATGCTAGTGTTATCGGGGGGATAAACATTTATGATTGACTAGACGAATGACCCGGGCAACGCCCGGGTTTACCTGATTAAATGTTTTATTCAAACACTATTCGTTACAATTATAAATTTGGCGCCGTGGATGTCACTCTTGTGAAACGTCCCGCTCCAAACTTTACAGTCAGATTAGTTACGATATACACATGTGTAAATCTTCAAATCGAGCGAGCGTCTATAAATATTTCGATTTAGATCATAAATTCTAATTATTAAGCGAAATATTATTAATAAAATTTTGAGAAGATATCGATTTTAAACGTATTTATAACCTTGATAGAGGGCGCTGTTCGTGAGCTAAGCAGAATAATTTGAATATATAGTTTTAATATTTAATTTATATATAATTTAAAATAGCCTATCGTTTTCCTCGTATATATATATTTTTTACCTATGTATGGAAATTTTGGTACTGCAAAAAAAACTTTGCTTCAATAATATAAAAAAAAAACACCCAGGCTAAGTTTCGAACCAAGGTTGTGGAAACACGAAGCCGCACACCTAACCATTAAGCTACGCTTGGCATCATAAATGTTCGCATGTAAAGCTATTTCAGGCCTTACATAATTCTAACGACCTTTTTGAAATAGGTTTTTGAAACATGAAAATTATAATACTTCAAATAAATAGAAATAGAGTGAACACAAATAAAACATATCAAATATTTCGAATTAGAGCAGTTATTTTAAACGGCGAATTAGATCAGTTATATCTAAAAATGAAAATATATAAATAAATAAAACATACCAAATATTTTAAAAGCAGTTATTTTAAACGACGAATTAGATCAGTTATATCTAAAAATGAAAATATATAAATAAATAAAACCTACCAAATATTTCAAATTAGAGCAGTTATTATATAATTAACTTTATGAACGGAAAAATATGTCCAGGGTAGCCTAGTGGTCATGGCATCTGCCCGGTAAGCGGAAGGTCGTGGGTTCGATTGGGTTGACACTTTTTTTATTTTATCCATTCTGACCAAAATCTATCCGTGAACTTCACACAGACAGAATAAGGCAATTATATAAGTAGATATTGTTTTTTCTGGGAGGTAGATTTCTTTTGCCTGAGCTTCTGTCGTGCTTTCTGTAGGCTTGCTCTGATTATAGACGATTTCCTTAAATTTGATTTCTGGTGTTTTAATCAAAACGGCAAGTCCTCCTCCAAATTTTCTCGGTCTGTCCTTTCGTAGTGTTGTATAACCTTTGATATTGAATCTCAGATTGTGATTCAATTTTGTCTCCTGAAGACAAGCAATATGCACATTGTTGTCACGGAGAAGACAAGTCAGCTCTTCAGTTTTCCTCTGGGTGCCATTTATATTGAGCTGTAGTAGATTGAATTGTGTCCTCGTAGTAGATTTCTCTTCAGGAGCCCGGGCTGCAGCTCCTGACGCGGCGGTTACCACGGACGCGGTAGCATTGCTGGAGATATCGGTTTTGCTCTTCATTGGAAAATGGGTGCCGTTGCCACGTTAGTCACCTTGGAAACGAACCAGAATTTGGTCGAATATACCAAGGGTCCAGGGGGGACCGCAGGGAGGGGTGGTCGGACTTCTCCTCCCCCCCCCCCGATATTCACATGTTCCTCAGAAAGTTAGATACCATTATTATATACAAAAGTGATATTCTATTTAAAAAAACACTCTATAGACACTTAAATATTAAATCTTTATTCTAAATAACATTTTAAAAATAAAATTTATATTGGTCTAGTGAATGATATTGGGAATGGTCTTCATTGACTCATTCTTCATAGATAACTAACCACCATGAGCTTGGCGCAGCATCAAAATGGGAGAATAATTGCGACCAACGTCTAACATGGAATAATTTTCTCTAAGTTCTTAAAAGCAAAATGTGTTACCGTGTTGGGACCGTGTGTACATTAGAATATATAATTAAATGGTATTAAAAGATTGTCCCAAAAGTTCGTAAACACTTGCAAAAATTGAAATACCAATATTATTCGCTATAATATTCTTCGCCGTTATGTATAACTAGAAGAATGACCCGGCTTCGCCCGAGAAATCCCCCGAGTGAAGTATCCTTCATACTGAAAATATATCAATAATAAATAGTAGAAGTGCCATGGAATAGCAATACAGAAGAAACACATAAACTACAGGAAAAAAAGGGTGTAATGGCAAAAATTGTATTATATTAGTGTTTAGGTATTTGATTTAATTATTTTTTGCAATCCATTTAGTTGTTTCGAAATTAATATAGTTTAAATAGACGGCAGCTTTTCCACCAAACCCCCATTAACCTTTGAAATTGCCTGAGTTGAGTGACTGACTGTAAATAATCCTGACTGCGATGCCCATCTTCTTTTGAAGTTTAGGGTTTTTAAAATTGGTCTGTTGTCACTGATTGCACTTTTCAGGATTTTCCATTGTGTTGTGGGTAGGATGTTGTAATTTATCGCTGTGATGTCTATTACGGATTCTGTGCCTGTGGACTTGGATAGATAGGTGTTCTCTCCCTTATATTTTAATGTCTTTGTATTATTTATAAAGTAATTGCATTATGTATTATTATGTATTCGCCGTAATAATATTATTCGCCAAGAAATAAGAAAAACAACGTTTTAAAAAAAACACGAACCTTACGGACAACCTTATATTATTCAGATTTTCAATTATTTAGTTGTGAGGCGATGTTAAGCCTCAGAAAATCAGGATTTGATATCCCTCAATGATATTAAAATTGGACTATCTTTTAGAGAAAACCTCTTTCTTCGATTAAAAAAAAACTATAACGTCAATGTCACTTTTAACGTTAGCAGAGCAGCCGAACTAAGACAAACCATTGTCTGACTGAGTGACAACGACAACGAAGTTGTGGAAACCGATTGAAGCCTCGAATTAAGAGACATTCACGCATCTTCAAACTAACAAACCACTAACGTGGCTTCTATGCAAGTACTTAACTTTTATATAAATACTCGAGAACACTAGAAGTATAATAATACTTTTATCTGAACCATATACAGTAGAACCTCTCTTTAGCGGACCCCCTGCTTGCGGACACCTCTCCACACAGGGCAGTTTTCATTTGCAAAATTACCATTTTTTCAATTTAGCAACTCTCCGGTAAGAGGACACCTCTCCCTAAAGGACACTTTGGCTCTGCAATTAGGTGTTGTCCTTTACAGGGAGGTAGTTCTACTGTTTTTCATATATTAATAAATGGCAAAAAATAAAAAGTTATCACGACGTAGCATCCATTATCGTCCATTTTAGTCACACTTGGCGGCACCATTTAGACAAGGATCTAGGAGGGGGAGGAACTGAAGGTAGAAACATTTCTTCTATAAATAACTCTACCTTTTTACCCTGACCTCTTTCTGAAGGTTTGATAATACGGTGATAAATTATAAATTGAATTTTAGATTTAAAAATTACAGATAGCATGATGATTATTTAAAAAAAGGCGTATCTCCCCTCATTTGAAAAAGGAGACGCAAATCCTATACCACTTTTATTTATTTATTAAAAACACAGATATTGGCGTGTAAACGTTCAAACTATTTTATGTACTCAGTTTCAAAAAATAAATAAATCATTTCTAGGATTAGAGAGAGTGTGTGAAAAATATATCAATTTACATATTTACAGCATTATTTATTTATTTACTTTATTTAATTTAGCACAAGGAATTAATATATATATATATATAAATCAATGTTTGTATGTTTTTTTGTTTGTATGTATGTTTGTTTGTATGTCCGGTATACAAATTCGCAGTAGTTCACTAATTCAAACCAAAATTTCCATACATAGGTAAAAAAAATACGGGGAAGACCATAGGCTATTTTAAAAAAATATATAAATCAATTATTAAAACTATATATTCAAATTATTCTACTTAGCTCACGAACAGCGCCCTCTATCAAAGATTAGATTAAATTATGCTGATGCAAACAAATAGATAATGCTAATAACAAACAATTATAATAAAAAAAATCTTATCTAAAAATATATCACTCGGGTAGATATGCACACGGGTCCATCCCGGGGCGAAGCCCGGGTCACCCGTCTAGTATTTTATAAAACGAGCCTTCTAATATTGACATGGCGTCACAATGACAAAGCTCTAAAACATTAGAAAACAGTATTTCTTCGTAAAATGGCTTATTCTATTTTGATACCTGATCTTAATAAATAAGAAAATATGTTTGGAATGTTCGTTTGAGATACATTCTGGAATAGATGAATGCTGAGATTAATTGGTGAATCCAATCCTTTGATTGGTTGACGCCATTGATGATGATCTTCCACAGTTATCATCATCATTCGAAGTTGGAATGGAAAGGATAATGTAGTGCGTTCCTTGTTATAAGACTACTAGCCGAATGACCCGGGCAACGCCCGTGTTTTACCCGATTGAATGTCTTTATTCAAATACTATTTGTTACAATTATATATTGGCGCCTTAAATAAATGCATATATTAGTTAATAACTATAGCCTATGTGCTTTATCTGTCTATGTACTGTTGGCTTCCGTAGGCGTCTCTTACTGGGAAAAAGAAAGAGAGGATTCCATTTAGTTATTAACTAATATATGCATTTATTTAAGGAGCGACCCGCTCCAACACAATAGTTACAAAAACCAAAAAGCGAGTGAGGGGGGTGGGGGGCAAAGTGTCTCGCGCAGTGGCGGCGCCATCGTAGCGAACCAATAGGAGAGCGCCATTCCAAAAAAAAAAAAGCAAACGGTGACAGAGATGAAGAACGCATGACGCTCGTAACTGTATATAGAATTCTGGTAAGGAACCGTCACGATGTCTTTCACATCCGTCTCTTGCCAGTACTGGCACTTACTGCTGTTCACTACTAAAACAGAATATTGATACGTGTAAAGAAAACCCAGAGCTGTGTCTCCTACTAAGGATGTTCATCAACGTTCCCAGTCTAAACCAACCAACCTCTCTTTGTAAAGAGTGACATCTAAGGTAGGATGTGGTCAACCCCACGTCCTGATGATCTAGGTGAGGTCCGGATCTACATAGGTAGGATGGAAGTACATTTCTGACAACTGCAGTTCCCAAACCTGAGTTCTTATTGCCAGAAACAACTGTTCGAAACATTAGCTCTTTTTATTTTGATTTTTTCACACTAATTCAAATTAAATATAATTAACCTCTTTTTTATTTCAGAGTTGATTCTTAATTCCGAAAATCGAATATATATTTATAGGTCAATATTTTTAGTAAGTGTAGAGTCTTTTTTTTTTTAATATACAAAAAGAAAAAAAGCCTAAATTTCTGTTTCCAAATGTAACCCACGGCTAGTTTGTATCACCAAACAGGGGAAGCCTAACGAAATATGAATTTTAAATTAGCATTTAGTTTTTATTAACACAAAGCAATAACGCGCCATCTATACATATAAAATAAAAGGATTTAAAAGCGCGAATGTTTCTTTTATACATAAAACGAACTTCTACTGTCCTTACTGCGATGAAAAAATATATTGGGAGGGCTTGGCTCATCAGTGGTGAACCCTCCCAGCGGTTTCGCCAATTCAATCCACCAGACCGCTTCTCAGAGCTCTAATACTGTATTGGATCATTCTGCTTTTATATGCAACACTGAAGGATGGAATCTTAGAAATGGTTTTCAAGTAAACTATGGACATAAGCTTATAGGACAGTAGAATTACATTTAAATATTTGCTTCGAGCAATGCTCTTCATAATGGACTTGTCTTTATAGTTTGCTGAAGAGCATTGCTCGAAGCAAATATTTGAATGTAATTCTACTGTCCTATAAGCTTATGCCCATAGTTTACTTGAAAACCATTTCTAAGATTCCATCCTTCAGTGTTGCATATAAAAGCAGAATGATCCAATACAGTATTAGAGCTCTGAGAAGCGGTCTGGTGGATTAAATTGGCGAAACCACTGGGAGGGTTCACCACTGATGAGCCAAGCCCTCCCAATATATTTTTTCATCGCAGT